AGCTCAAACGATGATACAGGATCGGAAACGTTTGAGGGATTGCCTGTCGGGTCTGCCTCCGTCACAAGAAACGATACTTGGTCATGGAAACTGACTGATGAACCGCACTACCACCTGTTGCTGCCGTTACCTTGGGAAAGACTGCTAATTCGCCAAAACCTGTTTTTTCAAAGCTCACCCATTATTTGCAGACAGGGAAGCGCTTGGCGACTATGGACTGGCTTAACAACAGAGTCGAATCAAGCACAATATTCCATCCTTTATACGTCTTCCTTATCCTCAAATCAAAACGGTTGGGCCAACGACAACTTGTAAAACCGATAGCAAATATTTGTAACACCGCAACCAGCGAATAGTACATTCTTTAAAGCATCTACATCGTCATTTTCTTAAAGTAGATATAAATTACATTAAAATAAATCCTGAAGATTCAGAACCAGCTGGAACCATCTCTATCGAGCACTATATAACAATAAGTTAATCAACATTAATATTACAATGTATAACTGTACTTTTAGTTATACAATACCCTCTGAAGATGGATCAAGCTCGATTTGAAACGTCAGGGTTTACATTAGCAAAATTAATACAGGAAGTAAATCTTTTAAATATTATGGCAATCAAGAACGTTCGACCCGTATACTTAAGTAAAATAATCCGCTTAAGACTATTAAAGCATCTAATCCAACCAATGAATGTCAGTTACGAACGAGTGAATTCTTTAGTGCTGAAAACGATAAATAAAAAGCTACGTACCAGTGCCTCCACGGTCCGCAGAGATCTGTGAAAACAAGGGCTGTGCAAGTTGCGAGGTGTCGTAGTGACACAGCTTCAATACCTCGGTCAGACTCTTTAAGCTGAACATACATTTGTCGACGAAGGGGGAATCGTCGGTGACGTCCAAAGATATCTTATCGATGCTGATCAGATCTTCTGGAGGGCGACTGCCATCGAGATAGGTCGCTTCGAGGAGCTCGTCCTCCAACGATTTTTCGTATTTGCTGCACACCTCGTCAACAAACTCGCACAACTGGGGTATTGCCAGCAACGTCGCCGCTAAGCTCATATACTTTAAGACAAACATTTTCATGTGCGCCTAAAAAAATAACGATATAACATAATTACATCTGAAAATATAAAATGAGACAAGACTGTTTAACAGGGGAAGAGCGTCAAGGATATCACAGGCACTGACCAGTGTCAATATCAGATTGCGACAATACAACTGGAAATGTCCGTGCTGTCTAGAAAGCCTCTAATTCGCCTCCTGTCTCGCTTTTTTTTCAAAACACAGAAATCACTATTTTTTTATCACCTTGCAAGAATTCTACAAAAGAAAACAGCATAATTTCATCAGTCGAGACACTACTTGAAGGATTTAACATGCAAAAATGGAATTTTTAGAACCAATTTCTAAAAGTAAAGCATTGATAATTAATCACGTTTATCTTTAATTAAAAACTAATTAAATTCATAAGTTTCACACTCAGAAAATAGGTATAATTTAAATAAATCAAATTAAACTAAATAAAATGTATGCTTTTCAATGTATACATGATCAACATTAACAATTACTAAGCAAATGGAATGAGGTCTATTCCATTTAATGTAACAGTCGAACAGATTTGTATTGGGAAAACTTTCAGAAGTTTGAAGTGAACACATGCGGGCTATGGCGAACAGTCACCCAGAACACTATGATTTTGTCGCTTACGCTCCATAAGATGGTACCATGTAGTAAAAGATGTTTCAATGGTCGACCACGAAAATGATAAAGCTAAACTGGAAATCGCTAAACAACTCAGCAAATACGAACAAACTATGTGATAACCACATAGCTTCCTGCAATATCGCCAAAGGGCTAGAGTCGACCGTATCTGCCACATACCTAATTGACGCTACTGTAATACTTATTGTTTATGCACTGTTCCGAAGAATGCCGTTGGTTGTATGGCCGAAACATCAACTATTTGTCCAATAATGCCTCGTATGACATCAACCATCAGCCTTACTTTGCGTTCAAAACCACTGAATCTAAAATTTGGGGAATTCATGAATTCGGGGTGCAGAATCAGAAAGGATTTAGTTAATCAAAATTTATTAAAATTACTTCAGTCATTCAATATCGATAACAGCTTATGCATTCGGGACGCGGAGAGAAACAGGACAGAAAGTTCTTCCAACGTGCTTGATTTTGGACCAGCGTTTGGGTTTTCGCAGAAAACAATTAGACTCTAAAGAAAAGTCCTTGAAAACACTTGCCGCAGGATAATATTGACCGTCCCATGGGTATTTTGCCGGCCAGCTGGGCTAGCACTAGTTGCTTCGCCTTTCTTTCTGGAGGATTTGCAACACATGCCCAAACTATCGTAGCTGTGACCTTTCAGTCTCGAGGAGCAAGGGTTATAGCAAGACTTTCTTAGATATTTATATTT